CGCTCTCTCTCGCTCGCTCTGTCTCTCTTTCCCTCCCCCTCTCTCCCCCTCTCATTCGCTCTGTCTCTCCTTCCCTCCCTTCCTCTCTCGCTCTCTCTCGCTCGCTCTGTCTCTCTTTCCCTCCCCCTCTCTCCCCCTCTCATTCGCTCTGTCTCTCCTTCCCTCCCTTCCTCTCTCGCTCTCTCTCGCTCGCTCTTTCTCTCTTTCTCTCTCTCTCTCTCTCTCTCTCTCTCTGTCTTTCTCTGTCCCCCCCTTCTCTCTCTCTCTCTCTCTCCCTCTCTGTCTCTCTCTCTGTCTCTCTCTCGCTCGCTCTCCACAGTTTAGGGGGTTATTTTCTGCTATTAAATTCCTGTTTCTCGTCCTTTCATCGGCACCTCACCACACACGCGCACACGCCTGCTGCGTTCATGTTGACTTTGACTTCATGCACGAGCGCACGCACAAAGGGCACACGCCTCCAAGACGCCCAGAGACACACGCAAGCGTGCACGTACGCGCGCACGTCTGAACTCGAACTGAACGACCGTACGGACGCGTGTGGTCCCCTAGCGCCAAGCGAATTACATTAATCACTTATATTTAGAAGTAACTACTTTAATATTAAAAGAGGGTAAAGGATGCCAACCGACAAACACGCATATATAATTATATATATATATATATATATACATCTACAATACATGGGTTATTTATGCAACTCACGTATGGGAATTAAAATGCGTGTGCTGGGAAACATACGGGCGTGCGTGCGTGCGTGCGTGCGAGCGTGCGTGCGAGCGCGCGCACTAGCGAGTCAACTGCATCAATCGGACGGTACTGCGAGCTACGGAGCTACTGGCTTCTTCTACGATCTTGTCAACCGACGACAGCACCCTCCCACCTGGAGCTTAGCATCCTCATCTTTATCGTAGCATCCTCATTCTTATCGTAGCTTCCGTGTCGGTCCGTGCCAGAGGTTGAATGAGCCCCTCCGCGCACGCACGCGCGAACGGATATGCACGCAGGCCCGCGGTGCGTGATTCACTTCGCATATTAATACCGCATTGAAGCAAGCACGGTAGAGAGAGAGAGAGAGAGAAAAGAGAGAGAGAGAAAGAGACAGACAGAGAGAGCGCGCGTGCGAGAGAGAGAAAGACAGACAGAGAGAGCGAGCGCGAGAGAGAGAGAGAGGCGGGAGAGAGAGAGCGCGCGAGAGAGAGAGGCGGGATGAGAGAGAGAGAGAGCGGGGGGTAAAGGAAGAGAGAGACGAGAGAAGCGAGAAGAGAGAGAGAGAAGAGAGAGAACCACCAGAGAGAGAGAGCCGCATCGCGTGGAAATGAGAGAGAAGCGGTGGCGGTGCATCCGGGGATAGAAGCGGTGGCCGCACCGGTGTAAGACGGTGCGGCGCACCGTAGAGGCTGGCGGTGGCCACCGGTTATGAGGCGTTGCCGGCAGCACGTAGCCGTAGGGCGGTGGCGCCGGTGGCACGGCGGTAAGGCGGGGCGGTGGCACCTGGTAGAAGTGTGCGGTGCGGTCGCACGCGAGAGCGCGGCTGGCGGCGGCGTACCGGTAAGAGGCGGTGGCGCGGCACAGGTAGAGGCGTGGCGGCGCACGCGCGTAGAGCGGTGGCGGCTGGCACCGGTAGAGGCGGATGGCGCCGAGTGGCACCGGAGATGGCGTGGCCGGTGGCACTCGGTAGAGGGCGGGTGCGTGGCACTACCGTAGAGGCTGTGTCTTAGTGGCACCGGTAAAAAGAGCGTGGCCGGCAGGCACTGGAAGCGCGTGGCCGCGCCACCCGGTAGGGCGGTGGCCAGTGGCACGCGTAATGCGGTGCGTGGGCACCGAGAGAGGAGCGATGCGGGTCAAACCGTAAGGCAGTGGCGGTGCACCGGTAGAGGCGTGGGGGTGGCCGGTAGATGGCGGCTGGCGGTGGCACCGGTAGAGGGTGGCGGTGTGCACAGACGTAGAGCGGTGGCGGTGGCACCGTAAGAAGGCGGTGGCATTGGCGAGACCCGGTAGATGCGGTGGGCGGGCGGCACCGGTACTATGACGGCGTGGCGGTGGCACGGTAGAGCGGTGGCGGCGGCATCCGGTTAGAAGTGGCGGTTGGCTGGCTGGCACCGGTAGAGGCGGTGGCGGTGGCACCGGTAGAGGCGGTGGCGGTGGCACCGGTAGAGGCGGTGGCGTGGCACCGGTAGAGCGTGGGCGGCAGCCGGTAGATACGGCGGTGGCCGGCGCACCGGTAGAGAGGCGGTGGCGCGCACCGGAAAGAGGCCGGTGGCGGGGCGGCACCGTAGAAGGGTTGGTGGGCGGCGGCCAGACCGGTAGAGCGGTGGTGGTGGCACCGGTAGAGGCGGTGGTCGGCGCAAGCCGGTAGAGGCGGTGGCGTGTTGAGCACCGGTAGACGGCGGTGGCGGCGGCACGGTAGGCGTGGGGTAGGCCCGGTAGACGGTGGTGGCGGTGCACCAGTAACACAAGCGTAATGCATATGACGATGAATTATTGAAGTGCGCGTATAGTGACGTCAGGTGGTGAGCGTGGGACGACGGCTTCTTAGTTCGCCCGCCTTCCCCTCCTCTCCCTCCCACCGCCGCCGCCGCTGCACGGGAATCTAACAAAGATGTGATGAATGCACCCCATGATCACTCATTGTTTCCCTGACCCATGTGTGACCTCGTTCTTTGTCTCCGTGATCCCGGTGTGACTTCGTTCATTGTCTCCGTGATTATAGAAATTTGAAATTATGAAGAGTATAGACATTTATTGATCAATGAATCTAATCAATCACACGTTTTGATTTATAGATAAGATGAATCTATGCTCAAGCCGAAAAAAGCTCTCTAATATTAGACATATTATATGTGATCTATATATAAGCATGCAAGGCATGAATTAAGACAGAAGAATGTTTTATTACCTCCAGTATGGGGGAATTTTCTAGCAGCTATGGTAAAACAAGGTGTAGCAGAATATGAGGTAGACTTCAGGGTAATTAATATTATTTAATGAGTAGTAATTAAGGGTGAAGCAGGGTATAATGTGAATTTATAAGCAGTGAGGGTAAATCCAATATTAGTTTTGAGGAATCTTGTCATTATCTGGTGAATTGGCGATGAGAAAATAAACTGTCAAGTCATATAATATATGTTAACAGACATTCTCTATATTATCAACTTTTCACAACATGGACAAAACGGTTTATGTTATAAGACCGCAAACAGATATCTTATGTTACAGCTATGGGAAGTTAATCGTACTGTCCCACAGAATTTCATGGCAAAATACGAAAATTCATGAAGATCGTTTACTATATACAACCCTTCCTGTGAATACAGTTTCCTAGAACATAATTAATCTTAAACTTCCTTCACTGAACATAATATGGAACAATACACACGAAATACCGCGAAATACAATGTACAAAATCATTCTCTTTTACCACCATGACATAAAACCTATCGCATACACAGCCTATAAGTTCTCCTCACTGACCACAATGATACAATAAAATCTTGATAACGAGGCGTCAAATAATCATGAAAAATAAACTGCTCCAAACATCAATTACTAATAAATCCTGAAAACACCCGGGTGCCGGGTTTGGATCACTCTTAGTCGGACTCCTCTTCCTTGGCTGGTTCAGCAAGGTTATACCATTGCTGACCTCGCACTTAGAATCATAGGAGTACGCAAGCCCCCACACGACGGCAACGTGGTGATCCAGGTGGTGGGGCCTGAAAAAAAACACAAAACAACAGAATTATGTTCATCCCTCGATGCTTGCCACTTGTCCGCTATGGTGTGTATTCTGTTTCATAATTCGATTCAAATTCATTCGATGCGTGAATCGAATGATTCGATTTACGCATCGAATCATTCGATTCACGCAT